GAGTTCCAATCCCTCATGTGGCAAGTGTGCTCAACTCCAATCTTGATTGACTAGTTTTTCTAGTCGATGGTTCCCTCCCGGCAATCTGGCTTCCTCCACCAATAAAAACTGACTTCCACAAAAAAGCACAATAGTGCTGAAAGTGGTGTTAAACACCAATCAATCAATCAATCCATATGGCAAAATCAAAGGTACTTTATTTAAATCATTTGCACCACGTGACTTTGTCCCTTTTGATCAAATTACTTCCCTTAGCTTAAGATTGAAAATATAATTTATTATAGATTTGCAGATAATCCAGTCCTTTTCCGTCATGTATCTAAAACTAATGTATCTTTAAAAACTTCCTTTGGCGGATATTTACAAAAATGCTGTGTAATTCTAAGGGAAAATGCTTAAAATTTGACTTTTTACGAAATGGGAAGGTTGAAATCATCAAGTTTTTAAAAGAATTTGGCCGAAAACTTAAGAAAGCAGGTAAGTTAAAAGTTATTTAACTTTAAAATTCAACCTACAAGGTGTTTCCCTATATGCGAACAAATCATGAACAATATCTTCTTGCATGTGTATTTCTGTTTTGAATCTTGCTATTTTACGATTTTACGTCATTTTATTTGATCTTATATAGCAGTTACACAATGGTTATGCTTCCGATTTTTAAACTAAAAAGGCCGAAAGATTTCAGAGTAGACAATGTCCATTTGTACACGGACAGAAGCCTAAAAACATGAACAATTCACCTATATGCGAACAAATTGTTCATTCGACATAGGTATTTGCATATTGGCATTTTTATACGACCGCAAAAAAATTTTTGTGGTCGTATATTGGTATGACGTTGGCGTCGTCGTCGTCCGGCGTCGTCGTCGTTGTCGTCGTCGTCGTCGTCGTCCGGCGTCGTCCGAAGACACATTGGTTTTCGCACTCTAACTTTAGTTAAAGTTAATGGATCTTTATGAAATTTTACCACAAGGTTCAATACCACAAAAGGAAGGTTGGGATTGATTTTGGGGGTTATGGTAATAACAGTAAAGGAATTAGGGGCCAAAAAGGGGCCAAAAATAAGCATTTTTGTAACTTCCAGACATAACTTGTGTGTTAGTGTATGGATCTCTCTGACATTGTACCACAAGGTTCCATATCACTAAAGGAATGCTGGGATTGATTTTGGGGGTAATTGCCTCCAAATTTTAGGAATTAGGGGCCAAAAAAGGGGCAAAAAACAAGCATTTTTCTAGTTTCATGACAATAACTTGTGTGTAAGTGTATGGATCTTTCTGAAATTGTACTACAAGGTTCCATATCACAAAGGGAAAGCTAGGTTTGAGTTTGGGGGTAATTGCCCTAAACGTTTAGGAATTTGGGGCCAAAAAGGGGCCAAAAAACACATTTTTTTCTAGTTTCCAGACAATAACTTGTGTTCAAGTGTATGGATCTCTCTGAAATTGTACTGCAAGGTACCAGACCACAAAGGGAAGGCTGGGATTGAGTTTGGGGGTGATGAATCATAATGGGGGTTCAAAAAATTTTGGGGGGGGATTTATTTTTTTTTCATTTTTTTTCTTTTTTTCCTTTTTTGTTTCTTTTAAAATTTTCCATTTTAAGTTGGTTATTTCTGATTTATATTTAAAATCAAATAATAATGATATGGTAGGAGATACACACTAAACAGGATGTGTAAATTATTATATAATAAGTATTGTGCAATAGCAAGAAATTTTCAATTGCACAGTATTGCACAATAGCAAGAAATCTTCAATTGCACAGTATTGCGCAATAGCAAGAAATCTTCAATTGCACAGTATTGCGCAATAGCAAGAAATATCCAATAGCACAATATTGCGCAATAGCAAGAAATTGTCAATTGATAGTATTGCGCAATAGCAAGAAATATTTAATAGCACAGGATTGTGCAAAAGAAGATACTTCCTATAAATTGCTTATTTCTTGACCAATTTCAATGGGGTTTTATTCTTGATTTCATGGGGTTCTTTAATATGCTGAATCTAACCGTGTATTTAGTTTTTGGATTTTGGGCCCCGTTTTTAAATTGGTCCACATTGAGGTCCAAAGGGTCCAAAATTAAACTTTGTTTGATTTCATCAAAAATTGAATTATTGGGGTTCTTTGATATGCCGAATCTAACTGTGTATTTAGATTCTTAAATTTTGGTTCCGTTTTCAAATTGGTCTACATTAAGGTCCAAAGGGTCCAAAATTAAACTTAGTTTGATTTTAACAAAAATTGAATTCTTAGGGTTCTTTGATATGCTGAATCTAAACATGTATTTAGATTTTTGATTATGGGCCCAGTTTTCAAGTTGGTCCAAATCGGGGTCCAAAATTAAACTTTGTTTGATTTCAACAAAAATTGAATATATGGGGTTCTTTGATATGCTGAATCTAACTATGTATTTAGATTTTTGATTTTTGGGCCCCGTTATCAACTTTGTCCACATTGAGGTCAAAAGGGTCCAAAATTAAACTTTGTTTGATTTCATCAAAAATTGAATTATTGGGGTTCTTTGATATGCCGAATCTAACCGTGTATTTAGATTCTTAATTTTTGGTTCCGTTTTCAAATTGGTCTACATTAAGGTCCAAAGGGTCCAAAATTAAACTTAGTTTGATTTTAACAAAAATTGAATTCTTAGGGTTCTTTGATATGCTGAATCTAAACATGTATTTAGATTTTTGATTATGGGCCCAGTTTTCAAGTTGGTCCAAATCCGGGTCCAAAATTAAACTTTGTTTGATTTCAACAAAAATTGAATATATGGGGTTCTTTGATATGCTGAATCTAACCATGTATTTAGATTTTTGATTTTTGGGCCCCGTTATCAACTTTGTCCACATTGAGGTCAAAAGGGTCCAAAATTAAACTTTGTTTGATTTCATCAAAAATTGAATTCTTGGGGTTCTTTGATATGCTGAATCTAACCATGTATTTAGATTTTGGATATTGGACCATAATAGGTGAATGTCCAATTTAAAATTTTTAAGTTCTTAGACCACATTCAATCTGTGTTAGAAACCTATGCTGTGTCAAATATTTAATCACAATCCAAATCCAAAGCTGTATCAAGCTTGAATGTTGTGTCCATACTTCCCCCAACTGTTCAGGGTTCGACCTCTGCGGTCGTATCAAGCTGCGCCCTGCGGAGCATTTTATTATTAAAAGGGCTTATATAATCCTATTGTAAGGCAAAATGGACGCTATGCAAATTAGCAAATTACCCCAAATTTTGCCATATGCCTAAACTTTAAATTTTAAAAAAATTTCATAGGTATGTTGATCAGAAAATAATATTAAAAGGTTTCTTTCTTTCATGTAAAATTTAGAATTTACAATGTATCCCCATATTTGTATTGCCATGAGCAACACAATGGGTACCACTAGTGGAGCATGAACTGCTTACCCTTCCAGAGTACATTATTTCACTCCAGTGTTCTCCACCATATTATCATCATGGTATATAATATGATGCTATCTGAAATAATTTTCTTATAGAAAGTGTTATGGATGTGAAGGGATAATTTCTAGAAACAAGATGGTATCTCAATATTTCCTATTTACCAGGTTGCTGTATAAAATTTGTGTTGAGAATTCTGCACTCCCAGTTGTTTTGTTGGATTCATATGATGTTGCTCAATCTTCAGTTTTCTTCTTTGTTGAGGATTGTTGTTAGTCTGTTCATCTTTTTTATGCCCCCGCTGTAGCGGAGGGGGCATTAAGTTTTACCCTTGTCCGTACGTCCCAAAGTTGGTTTCCGTTCTCTAACTTTAGTTTGCCTCAACCAAATGTTATGAAACTTATACAAAATGTTTATTACCACAAAACACAGATCAAGTTTGAATTTTGGGGGGGGTGTCACTTTAACCGTTTTAGAGTTATACCCTTTACAAATGGAAAAATTGCTGAATATTTTGTTTCCTTTCTATAACTTTAGTTTGCCTCAACCAAATGTTATAAAACTTGTACAAAATGCTTATAACCACAAAACACAGATAAAGTTTGAATTTTGGTGGCGTCACTTTAAAAGTTCTAGAGTTATGCCCCTTTACAAATGAAAAAATTGCTGAATTTTTTTTCGTTTCTGTTCTCTAACTTAAGTTTGCCTCAACCAATTGTTATGAAACTTATACACAATTCTAATTACCACAAAACTCAGATCAAGTACTAATTTGGGTAGTGTCACTTTTACCCTTCTTCAGTTATGTCCCTTTAAAACTTTATATGATATGCAAGCGGGGGGCATCATCTGTGTCTCATGGACACATTCCCCATTAATTTATAAATTTTTGATATGATATTGAGGAGTTATGGAACTTTATTCGTTTAAAAAGCAACGGGCGTATCATGCGCTCATGGCGCAGCTCTTTATTGATTATTTGTATTGGTATTTTCTCCCCCCATTTAACCAAGTATGGTAAAAGGGGGGTGTATATAATTTGTGCTTTGTAATACCATTACTGTTTGCTAATAGTATCTGCACAATAAGATATAAATGTTTGTAGATATACCATAATCTGGAGTTACTCATTCAGGAGAATTGTGTCCGAAAACCATGAATGTATCAAAAGAAAATCACTTCTGTCTATATTTTAATTCAATAAATTGCTATTTTCACATTTTTTCTGGTTAATAAATGAAGCTTTGCTGCTACAGTGACTGAACCCACTCAAAGTAGCTGTTAAAACAAACATGAATTATTGAACAGATTGCTATAGAATTCCAGGTTACTTAAAGAGGCCAAAAGCTAAAATAAATTCACGACATTAACATGATTAATGAGGTCGGATCAGTATTATTGTTGATACAAAGAATTGTTATGTAATGTTAAAGAATTGCTCATTTTGTGGTCTAGTTAATATTAAGTAAACCTAAATAAAGACTTTAAGAAAAGTTTTTATTACCACATTGCTTTGTATATAATTGGTTCCTGGTCATAGTTAATAATTAGGAGATCTATATATATAATCAATGTTCTGTTATATGACTGGGTCATAATATAGAACATGTCGGCCTGTTTCATATTTTTTAAAGCGGGGTGCTTTTAAAAGGAGAAATGTTAAATGGATTTATTAATCTTTAGATTTTAGTGTCAGTGACTTGTTATGGTAGTTTGCACTTTCCATAGTGAGTGGTCTTGATAGTCACACATGTGGTCAACATTAAACTGACCAGGTAAGATTGATGGCTAAAATACAATGTTCATTTATCAATATTTGTTTTTTTAATGAATTGCCATTCAGTCTATTGTTAACATGGTAACTAGAATCTTTGTAAAATTTTTGATTTATGTTTGAATTATTTGTAAAAGAATCTAGCTAGGACAATTGTCAGCTTATGTATACAAGCTAAGTGTGTATTTCTAGAAAATGATTGGGTGTCAAAATATTTCATATTATGGATATTTGTATGTAATCAGCTTCATAATTAAAGTGGTTAACATGTAGCATGGATTGATACAGTAAGTCATTAAGTTGGACATGTAGAGAAAAGGTTGTAAAAGTTACGTAAATTGTTGAATTAAAACCATTTGATGATTTATCAGATCTCAGTTACATACATCTAAATTCTTATACAAATAATTTAAACATATTTTAAAAATTTACAAACATTCCAGAATTGAATTTTTCAAAAGGAATGCCAGGTGCTGAAATTATAAGGAAACAATTTCCTTTATGGTTTAAATGAAGCTATTGTCTTCAACTTTTAAGGACTTTAGTTGGATTTACTCATGCCATATGATTTTTTGCATTATTTGCAATCAATCTGAAAAATATGTGTTTTTTAATGTATCTTTTTTTTTATTGACACTTAATTTTGATTAAAAAAAAAAAAAACAACAAATACTATGTAGGTGTATTAAATAAATCATGATTAATATCCTTTTGTTCTTTTGTTGTACTGTTCAACCTTTGAATTATTTAAGGAAGGATTGGCTTTAAGCCACTTAAAGATAACTAATTCCCTAATGTATTTATAATAAAAAGATTTAAGATAAAACTAAAAATAATAATGATGATATTCCTTTCCGAATGAGAATGATGTATTTTAACATCATCATTAAACTGGTCCTTGCTCTTAAATAATAATTCAAAATATATTTATTTATAGACACTCTTAAATATAAAAACAAAAGAACATTGTATTACAAGATTTCCTGGAAATGAGGTTGCAGATACTGGTGCATTTTTAAAACAACTTGAAATATTTTTTTAAGAAAAGTTGAGATTTCTTAGAATAAGGTTGTGATATTCAATTGTAAAAATTGTTTATGGATTTTACTTAATTTTAGTGAGGTAATTTACATATTTATACATAAGTAATCTTAAGGCAAAAAATACTAAGTTTTGATAAGATTATATTTGCTGTCAACAGCAGGTCAAATCAAAACACAATATAAAGGGTCATTTTTGTCGAGCCTTCGACTTTTGTCGAAAAAAGCAAGACATAGCGATCCTACATTCCGTCAGCGTCATCCACAAATATTCACTCTGTGGTTTATAAAGTTTTGAAATTTTAATAACTTTCTCAAACTATCCTGTATTTGTACCAAACTTGGACAGAAGCTTGTTTTTGATCATAAGATAGTATCCAGAAGTAAATTTGTTAAAAAAAAAAATTTCATTTTTTCCGTATTTTACTTATAAATGGACTTAGTTTTTTCTGCCAGGAAACAATACATTCACTCTGTGGTTAAAGTTTTTAAAATTTTAATAACTTTCTTAAACTATCCTGTATTTGTACCAAACTTGGACAGAAGGTTGTTTATGATCAAAAGCTAGTATCTAGAAGAAAATCTTGTTAAAATTTTGTACCTATTTATCCGTATTTTACTTATGAATGGACTTAGTTTTTCTTCCAGTTAACATTAAATACAGTCTGCAGTTAAAGTTTTTAAAACATTTATTAGATTCATAAACTATCCTGGATTTATACCAAACTTTGACAGAAGCTTCTTACAATCAAAAGATAGTACTTATCTAAAGGGATATTTTTATTGTTTTTTTTCCTCATTTTGTTGAGCCTTGGATTAACAGCAAAAGTAGGCGAGACACTGGGTTCCGTGGAACCCTTACAAATTTTTTCTTTAGTCACCACAGATATTCTCATCAGCCTTTCAACCTTTTAAAATGCTGACAAGATATCATTTTTGACCTTGGAAATATTATCAACTAGATGATTTGTTTAGTTATATTTGTATATGTCACTGTTGTATTTACTGAAAAGGTGATATATTGTATTCAAATTCTGTATAGAGGCTCGATTGTGGAACATAAACAATTATTGAAATTTTAGTGATCCCCAGCTTAAAAAAATGTATGCATCACAGAGGATTTTATCTAAATTTTGTATGTCCATTGTACAATACAAGTTTTTTTGTATGACTGAAGAAAAATGACTAATAATTCCAACTGTAAATAATTGATATTTCAAGGCTGAATATAAGCTGACCTGTTATTCACATGTTATTGTTTGGGTAACAGTTCAATGTTGCTTAAATATTTGCTGTCCTTGTTCACTTATGATTGTCCATGGTATGTACATGATGTATGCATGTATGATGTACATGTGTCCTCAACAACATGTGCAGCTGGTGCTATTAAGGACAAATACAAGGAATAGAAAATTATCATGTATTGATTTAGATATAAAACATATATCAGAGCTATTGACTATTAAATTGAACCATAATGATTCCATTAGCTGTTATTTTCATTCATTGAGCCTTTATGTCTACTGTGCAAATTTATGGTGATATTTTGTTGTTAAGTTTTCATTTAGATTTTGATATTTAATCATGCCTGCAGATGTTAACAAAAGTAAAGTTATGGTTCCTAAATATCAAATGCACTTATAAGAGTCTAAAATCCATATTATTCTAGTAAGATTTTTGCAAATGAATAACAGAACTTGTGACAACAACCCAACACCTCAAAAAAGACGGTAGACATTAAAAGGTCAACATACAGTCTGCAACCTAAGACACCAGTCTATACTATATGCCAAGCTCTAAATTTAGACAATAGGTTTGTGAATAAATTGAATAAAGACTATAGATCAAAGATAGACATCAGATTCTTTGGCAGACATTAAACACTAAGATCCATGTTGTAACCAACAACTCCCATGATTCCTGGCTTGAAATGTGCACTTTCACATGAAAAAGTGTTAAACATGTTTTTTGAGCAATCAACCCCTCCTTATGGATCAATGCCCTTACAGAAAATAGATAGAACCATGGAAGTATAATACTTCCATGATAGAACATAGAATAAAAATTCAGATTAGAAATTTTTTAAATATTTGTTTTACAGAGGACAAAAACACAATTAGTAAAAGTAAAGCTAAATGATACCAGATCAAAGACTGTCCTATGATCTTTGGTGGGTAGATGTAATTGTCTCATTGGCAATCAAACCATATCTCTTTTTTTATATCAAAGAGCTTAATCACAATATTGTTGTCCATGCTGTCTGAAATCAGCATATATATATTAAAGTAAACAGAATATAAGATTTATATAGGGTATATGAGCTTGCATACTAAAGTTTCATTAATTTATTTGACCTTAGAGGGTAATTTAAGTCAAATTCCTTTTTTGTTATCTGTTAACTTAGAAACCTGATAAGTAGTCTATATAAATGTACTCTTGACATCCTGGTTAATTATAGGACAACATCGATACAGGAATTGACACTTTTATTTATCTAATAATCAAAAGGGTTCTTCAATTTTTTTCTCACAAATTTGGTTTTTGTAAAGGGTAGGTCATTTTAAAATCAGTGATTATTACTTGTGGTATTGCTGAAGAAAGATCTATTTTTAAATCATTGGAACAATTGTAGACTGGTATTTCTGTTTTAGATTCTGTGACCTTTGATCTACTGATGTCTTACTCACTTTTATACTTTTTCTTTTTTATGGTAAAAATTTTCTTTAACATACATGTAGATCTGTGATGAGAAAAATGGTGTGATGCATATTTTATAGCAGAAAAATAATTTTTATTAAATTGTGTTGTATATTTTTATAAAAATTTAGATTTTGATTATGTTAGCTGTATATATATACATTTTATAACAGTTATTATTCAAAAGAAACAATATATCTTTTTCAGGGGGTGTTGACACAGTTGAGATGTGTGGGAAATATTGATCTGTCTAGGAAACCCTTTCCATTGACTAAGTGAGTCCTCCAAGGAAAAGAAAACACCCTCAGTATGTCTGCTACACCTCATAGAAAGGACTGCACTGATGTCATCATTATTGGTAAGGAGACAATTTATATCATCTAGGCCATGCCAGATTTATTTTGGTTGCATTAGATTTATGTGACTTATAACCAAAAAAAAGGTGTTGTTTAGAGAAACAGTATTGTATGTTTATGATTTGCAGGCATCAATTAATAATTTGATGGTTTCAAATTGAATTTATTGGAGATGTGTGAATGGAGCAAAGAAACAGCTATTTGCAACAATCAATTGAAGTTGATGTCCCCAAATCATCAAATACAATACAGATATCTCCATTCTAATGCAATTAAATGAAAATACAGGGAAATCATATATTTATAAATGAATCACAGGACATCTGTGTTTGAGTGTACAATTCCAGACCATCAATCTTGAAACTGATGTGCTGAAATTTGTGGCATTGTCCAATTGAAATGAACTTTTAAAAGCTGTATAAGAATTAATTTTTTTCTGAAATCATTTGCAGCATGATTTTGCAGACATTTCAATAAACATGTTTTAGTCTAATGCTGATGTCGATATTCAAAAGAGAAAAAAAATGTTTTGATCACAGTATGTGGTGCCACAATGTGGAATTAGTTACTTTATAATATGTTACTTTTGGACAATTACTGTTGCAAAAAAATATTCCTTCCTTATGAATCAGGTAAGCACAGAACTAACAAACTTTTGATAGTGTTGTACCATGCTAATTAATTGAAAACTATTTTATATCCTTACATATATTTATTTTAAATTGAATACATTTCATAAATATTACTTTTTACCAATATTTTCTCCAATCATTTTTTAGTTCAACCAAGAACTATAAATGAATATAATGACCATGTATTTGATTATACATATACAAGTTCATACATACTATAAATTCAGACATTAATATTATATTTAATGTTTGTATTGACTTGTCAGAACAATACAAAATTGCATTACTTAAAACTTACATTTTAATGTAATCAATGAAGTACATGTATTAGATTCAACTTATTGTCAATTGATCACTTTCATTCAACTTATAATTATTGATAATAAGAATTACATATATATATTGATTTCCAGATTTACAGTTGGGCTCAAGAACTGTGGTTCAACTCTTTTTCTTCTTAAGTCTAATGATGAGTATTTTTTTGTACATTTTGTAGGTTTTTTAAGACATAATCCTTTTTACAGGAAATGGACCATCAGGGATCTGTCTGTCTTTCCTCTTATCAGGAAATCGTCCCTATTACAATGGAGGATCCCATTCCAATGTTTACTTGAACAAAAAATTAGAGAAGCTGGATAAAAATAAATCAATAGTTGAAGAGGTATGTAAGATAGTTTTTTTATTCATCAAATAATTGATTTTGAGTAAGAATGTTTCAATTTCTGTTTGTACTTTCAGACATGTTGACTAAGATATTGACCTCATAGCTGAGAAACCATGTATGGTATAGAATGGTATTTTTTCAGTGCACTCATTTACTTTTATTCTACAGCACTGTAACCCTTTGTACAAAAGAAATTGTCTATGGAAATTGGTAGCTCTAAATGGATTCATTATTAATTGCTGGATTCCAGTTTTCGTGGATTTTGTGGGTACAGGTGAACTACTAATTAAAATGTTCAACAAGTACAAATTTCAGTAGGCTTGTATGCAGAATTTGGTAAAACCACAATATTAAATATCCATGAAAATGCAATTTTATTTTAAAATCCACGAAAACTGGTATCCACGAAAAAAATATATGAATCCACAGTAATCTATACTGAAATGTTCATGACCTACAAATTATTTTATTAGATTTTTGTGAAAGAAGAAGCAGTTCATGATTTAAATTTTTTTGTTAGCTTACCTAATTTAATGTTGTTTTAAACTTACCATTAAACGTAACAGCATATGAAAGATATATTCTTTCTTAATAGATATACTGTTTGATGTAAGAAATGGCTACATCTGCAGCTTAATTAGGCAAATCTATATTAACATACTTTATTTTTCCTTCTTTCAGGACTTAGAATATCTGTCTGAAGGCTTAGATGGGAGATCGTCTAACCCTGTTGCTTTGCTTTTTGATAACCTATGTCGACCTGATGCTGACATGGGTGTAAACAATCCATCCCTGTTGTCATGGAAACATGAACCCAAACACAGTATTAATCACATAGTTCTTGGAAAGGGTAAACCTGGAGGAGCTTGGCAGGTAAGAAAGAATTTTTCATCAGCGTGTTTAATGTACAGCATGTTCAATAAATGGTGTGGCATTGACAATCCAATGGGAATATTTAATGATTTTGTTTTGTGGTAAGCTTTTTATTTGAACTCTTCTCGGGAGTTGATTGGCAAAAGTTTTCTTAGTTGCATTTCTACATATTAACTTGTTACTTTGTTTCATTAGTTTTTTAAATTTTCTTCTCATATGTTAAAAAACGTTTTTGCCTTCAAATAAGTGAACTTAATTTTCACTCACAGAAAATGGATGGGAATATGCAGACATTAAGCTTAGCCAACTGGATGGAGCTGCCATCTCTTCCATTTAAAGACTGGATCATGAATCATCACATGTGAGTATTAAACAAACAATAAAAAATTTACACTTTTTATCCAAAATTAGGAACCGCCATTCATAAATAAGGGGCAAGTCTTTAGTAATATGGTCTTTAAAATTCAATAGACTTTGTTGAGGCAGAATACACTGGAAGTTGCTGTTTATGTCTTGTTATAAAATGTAACTAAGGATGAATCAGGTATGACAAAGTGAAAAATGTAAAGTGATATCTGTTAAGATTGATCTTTATCATGTAGATCATGTGCAAATGTAAAACATGTGAAACATGTAAATGCTAAACTTGAAGGTATTTTCTGATTAAATCTTTTCGTGATAATTTGGTAGTCTACTTAGTACTTCTGTGAGGTAAAATGTGACTTTTCCATGACGAATAAGACTATTCTAGAAAGACAAAGATGTATAAATGTACTATATATTTAAAAGGGCCTAACAGTGAGCCAAACTGTAAGGCCATCTCTGTCTAAAGGTGTTAAAACACAATTTATCTACTGAGAATTTATCTAAATATGCAAGAAAAAGCTTGGGGGAAGGGGTTTAGTTTGATTGTTATGATTGTCTTTCAATGTTTCAAATTTGAATACTGGTACAGTTTGAGCTGATAAATAACATTTAGTTTAATTGGTACTTTCAGTTTGAATTATCTTATATGTTGACCTTTTAATATTAACATGTATCTTGTTAAATCAGATAATTATTTATATGGGGGGGGGAGTAAACCTGATAATGCAAGACATTCTCTCATCAATTCATTACATCCCTCTCTCCCACAGAAAAAAATCAAACAATTAGAAAATATAGAACTATAGTAATCAAACAAAAGTACACTTATTGATTTATTTATGTGATAGACAAAATATGAGATGAAAACTAGGCAGAAATGAGTGAATAATTCAAATATTCAAAGTGTATGTAACTAAACTTTTAGAAATTAGTAGAAATCTACATATAGGGGTATCATGCATTGTTGAACTGTGACCTTGTGACCCAAAGTTTAAATGTCATTGATAAGGAATTATATTTATCTGTTATTGACACTGTTTTCTCCCACTCATTAAAGTATTTATAATGTTACCTGGTATGTTGTCACAAGAGTCTTTGAGGTCTTATTTGTTAACCAAGATTTATTGATAATAATCTTGGCCCAGATTTGAACCATGTTTTAAATACTGAACCTAAGACCACAGATTAACTATTTCCATATACCCTAATGCTTTTAGTGGGTGGATGAATTTTTTTTTATAATCTGTCTATGCATGGATAAAATTTAAATTTTAATCTTCTTAACCTGTGAGTTTACCGTAACAGACCACCATGCAAAGCTGTAGTTGCAACAAAAGTACATTGGTTTTTTAATTTAATTGTTGCAAAATATCATTGAATTTTGTACTTATAAAGTATTAAAAGTTATTGATTTGTGTCAAGTGTGTTTTCCCAGGCATTGACAAAAATGTATAAATAGGTCTAATAATATCTTCACTGATTGATATAATATGTTTACAAGGGTGGAACTTACATTGTTGAAAATATTTTAAAATCCAGTTGCAAAAATTTAAATATATTCATAATAGAAAACATTTAAAGTATCCGCACCCTTTGTATACTAAGGTGTTCTATTTAAATGACATATATCCAAAAGTATATGGAACAAGGAATTTATGTTCTGCAATGACACATTGACATATATTTATTATATGCTGGATGCTGAGGAATTTGACATAAATAATGAGTATACCAGGAAATAACAGTATATCACAGAAACAACACTTTTATTGCTGTTTTTATGCCCCACTAAGGGGCATTATGTTTTTCGGTCTGTGTGTCCATTTGTTTGTCCGTTCGTCCGTTCGTTCGTTCATTCGTCTATCTGTCCCGCTTCAGGTTGAAGTTTTTGGTCAAGGTAGTTTTTATATGTATTATGGTATACCGTTGACCGTCCGTCCGTCCGTCCTCGTCAACATGTCGGACATTAATTCAAAAACTCTTTAACCAATATGCATGAAACTTTGGTGAATTGTTTATATCTATTGACGTGAGCTCCCTTTCGTTTTTTTATAAATTTCAGATTTACCATTTCTGAGTTTTGGGGTTTTATTCATTAAAAAAGGAGGGATTTTCCAGTTTTCGGACAATAACTCAAAAAATATATCACCAATTTGCATGAAACTTTTGTAAATTGTTCATATCTATTGACGTGAGCTCCCTTTCGATTTTTATAAATTTTGGATTTTCCTTTTCCGAGTTTTAGGGTTTTATTCATTAAAAAAGGGGGGATTTTCCAGTTTTCAGACAAAAACTCAAGAACAATTTCACCAATTTGCAAGAAACTTTGATGAATTGTTTATTTCTATCGACATGAGCTCCCTTTTGATTTTTATAAATTTCAGACTATACGTTTCCGATTTATGGGGTTTTATTCATTACAAAAAGGGGGATTTTCCAGTTTTCAGACAATAATTCAAAATTGCTTTCAGCATTTTTATTGAAACTTTGGTAAATTGTTTATATCTATTTTTGTAAGCTCCCTTTTGATTTTTATAAATTTTCAATTTCACATTTCCGAGTTATAAGATTTTATTTGTTTATAGTCTGACATCAGATTTACAAAGTATTGCGCAACAGCACAGTGTATTGCACAACAGCAAGAAATCTTTCATATAACCAATTTCAAGTTCTGTTGACTACATTTATTCAGAAACCTATAATATATCAAATATTTAATTACAATCCAAATTCAGACCTGTATCAAGCTTGAATATTGTGTCCATTTTTGCCCCAACTGTTAAGGGTTGGACCTCTGCGGGCGTATCCAGCTGCGCTCAGCGAAGCAGTTTATTGATGAAGTTGAAGTCCAATCAACTTGAAACTTAGTACACATGTTCCCTATGGTATGATCTTTCTAATTTTAATGCCAAATTTGAATTTTGACCCCAATTTCACGGTCCACTGAACATAGAAAATGTTAGTGCGAGTGGGGCATCCGTGTACTATGGACACATTCTTGTTCATCTAGACATTATTATCAGATTTGGTACCAAGATTTTGAAATGGTGGGGTTAAACCATATATAGTTAAGTAAGGGTTGAATGAAGCCAAAGGGAAATAAAGTGCACGGTTTAAGTTGTGTCTTTTTACTTGCATTTAAATTTGATGATTTAATTTTTTCACAGAAAAGAGGATGAAGAGGTGTACAGGAACCGTGCCAGTGTAGCAGATGTTAAAAATTACTATACCAGCTTTGTGAAACAGAATCAGTTGAATTCCTTCTATAATAATCATACAGTTACCTCAGTGCGAAAAGTGTTTGATTTCAAATCTTGCATAGACTCAGAAAGTGGCGAGAGGTTGCCATGTTGCAAGAACTTTAAGGACAACCATCCATTTTTGTGGGAAGTTAGAGGGTACATTGAAAATTTTGAAAATGATTCGGCTACAGACAAGGAGCATGGAACTAAATTACATGAAGAATTTTGTTATATGGCTCCTCATGTTGTCATAGCAACGGGTACATTTGATATTTCTAATAGACTTAATATACCAGGTGAAAATCTGTCATATGCTGTACATACACTTCAAGATTTTGAAAAATGCCTTGTGGAAAGACGAAAATATTCTTCATTGGACCCCATTTTGATTGTAGGGTCTGGTCTGAGTGCAGCAGACGCCATACTTATGGCACTAGAATCAAACGTTTCAGTGATTCATGTTTTTAGGAAAGGTCCAAATGACCCCAGTATTATTTTCAAGAAGCTGCCTGCAGGCATTTACCCTGAATACCACCGAGTTCATGCCTTGATGAAAAATAAGATATCGGACCCCCTGTATAAGTCCTACTGCAAACATCAATTAATTGATTTAAAAGATGACCAAGGAGCACTTTTAGAGTCAACAGATAGCAAAGACATAATTTCTGTAGATATATCTATGGCTGTGATATTAATAGGATCTCGTCCTGATTTATCATTCCTCCCATATGAAGCCAAAAACTTAGGTGTTGTACCAAGATATCCAATAGAATGTAAACCTAATCCATTAGATGTGGACCAGTATAGTTTTCAGTGCAATCATGAAGTTGGACTTTTTGCAATGGGACCATTGGTAGGAGAGAATTTTGTGAGATTTGGTTTGGGCGGTTCCTTAGGAATTAGCAATTTTCTGTACAAAAAGAAACAGAAGGACTGTTTGTAATGAAGAAATCTACATTTTTTTGTTCTCATCATAATACTGTTCGGAGAAATACATGTATTACTTTTATTTATTGCTATTTGTACTTTTGTAAAATGACAATAATTTTTTATACTACATTGTCTTTCAAGAATACACATGTCAATTTGACTAACGTGGTAGAAAAATCATATTAAATAATTTGAAAGTTTCATTATTTGTCAGGTCCTTTTTCACAGATATGCATTACCAATACATGTATTGATTTTTGTGTCACATGTTCCTACTTTCATAATTTTACATTGCAATTTATCACACCTGCATATATGTGTATATTTAGTCATGAATTATACTTGAGATAAGGGACTAATATTCATTAAAAAAAAAGGTCATTTTATAGAAAAAAAGGAGGAAATAAAAGACACTTATTACTATACATTAGATGATAAAAAGTGTGATTTACCAGTAGTTCTGTCCCATGGCTGTGTTTTGGGATAATTGTTCTCAGACTATCTCCTCAGTACATTTTTATGCACATAAGTTTATTGTTTTACATTCGAACTTTTGTAGTGAAACAGGTTTTTGCAGAATTTATAATTGAATTATTTTCATCTTTCATTCTACAAAATGTACTACCATTATAAAACTCCACTGGTTTATGGACATTGTTACTAACAGATCAAATTGCCTTCAGAAAGCAAGCAAACAATATGTGAACACCTGTTTTGTCAACCTTCAGAAATAAGGTAATTTATTTTTTCCTTTTTTGGTATATAAAAGAACAAAAAATAAATGTTTCTTCACGTTTAAATGAAATCCAGGATACTTGTTTTTGTCGAGCCTGCGACTTTTGTCGCAGAAAGCAGAAAGCTCGACATAGGGATAGTGATACGGCGGTGGCGGCGTTAGCTAACTTTTTAAAAGCTTTATATTTTACAAGGTGGAAGACCTGGATGCTTAATACTTTGTATATAGATGCCTCATGTTACGAAGTTTCCGTCAGTCACATGTCCAATGTCCTTGACCTCATTTTCATGGTTCAGTGACTACTTGAAAAAAAAGTTAAGGTTTTTTTGTAACGCTAAATTCTCTCTTATTATAAGTAATAGGATAACTATATTTGGTATGTGCGTACCTTACAAGGTCCTCATGCCTGTCAGACAGTTTTCACTTGACCTCGACCTCATTCCATGGATCAGTGAACAAGGTTAAGTTTTGGTGGTCAAGTCCATATCTCAGATACTATAAGCAATAGGTTTAGTATATTCAGTGTATGGAAGGACTGTAAGGTGTACATGTCCAACTGGCAGGTGTCATCTGACCTTGACCTCATTTTCATGGTTCAGTGGTCTAAGTTAAGTTTTTGAGTTTTGGTCTTTTTTTCTAATACTATATGCAATAGGTCAACTATATTTGGTATATGGAAATATTTTATGATCTATATGTCGGTCGCACAGGTTTTATTTGACCTTGACCTCATTTTCACGGTTCATTGCTCAGTGTTAAGTTTTTGTGTAATGGTCTGTTTTTCTTAAACTATAAGCAATAGGTCAACTATATTTGTTGTATGGAAGAATTGTTAGCTGTACATGTCTGCCTGGCATGGTTCATCTGACCTTGACCTCATTTTCATGGTTCATTGATCAATTTTTAGTTTTTCGGTTAATGTTAAGTTTATGTGACAGTTGTAATAAAGCTTTATATTTAGGACTATCAACATAATATCAATGATTAATAAAGAAGGCGAGACATTTCAGTGTGTGCACTCTTGTTATATGATTATGCAGGAAATCAGCCAGTCAAGAAAAGTTATCAAAAAGTATTTTGTAATGCCATGTTACTCTAATTCACCAACATTGAATGAACGCTTAGGAAGCAGTTGGTTTGTCATATTTCAAAGCTAAGAGTAATAGCTCAGGACCAAATAGATTTTTACAATGGTGGCTGTTATTGCAGCATAAAAGCAAAAAATGTGAGAATTTACTGGAAGATTTATTTCCAGTTTTAATTGAACATGCTCTAAATATTAAAAGGGTACTACAATGTAAATTGTAAGATATATTTTATGATTTTTTTTGTTTTTTATATATTGCATGAAAATCTAAGCTTTTGATTTTTTTGTTTTATGATTTTTAACTTAATTATTGTGTTACTGAAAAATGGCAAACCAGGTCTTGAGTTGTGCTTTTTATACGACCGCAAAAAAATTTTTGTGGTCGTATATTGGTATGACGTTGGCGTCGTCGTCGTCCGGCGTCGTCGTCGTCGTCGTCGTCGTCGTCCGGCGTCGTCCGGCGTCGTCCGAAGACACATTGGTTTTCGCACTCTAACTTTAGTTTAAGTGAATGGATCTTTATGAAATTTTACCACAAGGTTCAATACCACAAAAGGAAGGTTGGGATTGATTTTGGGGGTTATGGTAATAACAGTAAAGGAATTAGGGGCCAAAAAGGGGCCAAAAATAAGCATTTTTGTAACTTCCAGAAATAACTTGTGTGTTAGTGTATGGATCTCTCTGACATTGTACCACAAGGTTCCATATCACTAAAGGGAAGGCTGGGATTGATTTTGGGGGTAATTGCCTCCAAATTTTAGGAATTAGGGGCCAAAAAAGGGGCAAAAAACAAGCATTTTTCTAGTTTCATGACAATAACTTGTGTGTAAGTGTATGGATCTTTCTGAAATTGTACTACAAGGTTCCATATCACAAAGGGAAAGCTGGGTTTGAGTTTGGGGGTAATTGCCCTAAACGTTTAGGAATTTGGGGCCAAAAAGGGGCCAAAAAACACATTTTTTTCTAGTTTCCAGACAATAACTTGTGTTCAAGTGTATGGATCTCTCTGAAATTGTACTGCAAGGTACCATACCACAAAGGGAAGGCTGGGATTGAGTTTGGGGGTGATGAATCATAATGGGGGTTCAAAAAATTTTGGGGGGGGGGATTTATTTTTTTTTCCTTTTTTTTCTTTTTTTCCTTTTTTGTTTCTTTTAAAATTTTCCATTTTAAGTTGGTTATTTCTGATTTATATTTAAAATCAAATAATAATGATATGGTAGGAGATACACACCAAACAGGATGTGTAAATTATTATATAATAAGTATTGTGCAATAGCAAGAAATTTTCAATTGCACAGTATTGCACAATAGCAAGAAATCTTCAATTGCACAGTATTGCGCAATAGCAAGAAATCTTCAATTGCACAGTATTGCGCAATAGCAAGAAATATCCAATAGCACAATATTGCGCAATAGCAAGAAATTGTCAATTGTACAGTATTGCGCAATAGCAAGAAATATTTAATAGCACAGGATTGTGCAAAAGAAGATACTTCCTATAAATTGCTTATTTCTTGACCAATTTCAATGGGGTTTTATTCTTGATTTCATGGGGTTCTTTAATATGCTGAATATAACCGTGTATTTAGTTTTTATACGACCGCAAAAATTGAAAATTTTTTGGTCGTATATTGGTATGACGTTGGCGTCGTCGTCGTCGTCGTCGTCGTCGTCGTCGTCGTCGTCGTCTGGCGTCGTCCGGCGTCGTCCGAAGACACATTGGTTTTCGCACTCTAACTTTAGTTTAAGTGAATGGATCTCCATGAAATTTTACCATAAGGTTCAATACCACGAAAGGAAGGTGGGGATTGATTTTGGGGGTTATGGTACCAACAGTTAAGGAATTAGGGGCCAAAAAGGGGCCAAAAATAAGCATTTTTGTAACTTCCAGACAATAACTTGTGTGTAAGTGTATGGATCTCTCTGACATTGTACCACAAGGTTCCATATCACAAAGGGAAGGCTGTAATTGATTTTGGGGGTAGTTGCCTCAAAATTTTAGGAATTAGGGGCCAAAAAAGGGGCAAAAAACAAGCATTTTTCTAGTTTCATGACAATAACTTGTGTGTAAGTGTTTGGATATTTCTGAAATTGTACTACAAGGTTCCATATCACAAAGGGAAAGCTGGAATTGAGTTTGGGGGTAATTGCCCGAAACGTTTAGGAATTGGGGGCCAAAAAGGGGCCAAAAATAAGCATTTTTCTAGTTTCCAGGCAATAACTTGTGTTCAAGTGTATGGATCTCTCTGAAATTGTACTGCAAGGTACCATACCACAAAGGGAAGGCTGGGATTGAGTTTGGGGGTGATGAATCATAAGGGGGTTCAAAAAATTTGGGGGGGGGGATTTTTTTTTTTCTTTTTTTTTCTTTTTTTCCTTTTTTTTTTCTTTTAAAATTTTCCATTTTAAGTTGGTTATTTCCGATTAATATTTAAAAGCAAATAATAATGATATGGTAGGAGATACACACCAAACAGGATGTGTAAATTATTATATAATAAGTATTGTGCAATAGCAAGAAATTTTCAATTGCACAGTATTGCACAATTGCAAGAAATCTTCAATTGCACAGTATTGCGCAATAGCAAGAAATCTTCAATTGCACAGTATTGCGCAATAGCAAGAAATATCCAATAGCACAATATTGCGCAATAGCAAGAAATTGTCAATTGTACAGTATTGCACAATAGCAAGAAATATTCAATTGCACAGTATTGTGCAAAAGAAGATACTTCGTATAAATTGCTTATTTCTTGATCAATTTCAATGGGGTTTTATTCTTGAATTCTTGGGGTTCTTTAATATGCTGAATCTAACCGTGTATTAAGTTTTTGGATTTTGGGCCCCGTTTTTAAATTGGTCCAAATTGAGGTCTAAAGGGTCCAAAATTTAACTTTGTTTGATTTCATCAAAAATTGAATTATTGGGGTTCTTTGATATGCCGAATCTAACCGTGTATTTAGATTCTTAATTTTTGGTTCCGTTTTCAAATTGGTCTACATTAAGGTCAAAAGGGTCCAAAATTAAACTTAGTTTGATTTTAACAAAAATTGAATTCTTGGGGTTCTTTGATATGCTGAATCTAAACATGTGTTTAGATTTTTGATTATGGGCCCAGTTTTCAAGTTGGTCCAAGTTGGGGTCCAAAATTAAACTTTGTTTGATTTCAACAAAAATTGAATATATGGGGTTCTTTGATATGCTGAATCTAAACATGTATTTAGATTTTAGATTTTTGGCCCAGTTTTCAAGTTGGTCCAAATTGGGGTCCAAAATTAAACTTTGTTTGATTTCATCAAAAATTGAATATATGGGGTTCTTTGATATGCTGAATCTTACCATGTATTTAGATTTTTTATTTGTGGGCCCGCTATCAAATTGGTTCATATTGAGGTCAAAAGGGTCCAAAATTAAACTTTGTTTGATTTCATCAAAAATTTAATTATTGTGGTTCTTTGATATGCCAAATCTAACCGTGTATTTAGATTTTTAATTTTGGGTCCCGTTTTTAAAATTGGTCTACATTTAGGTCCAAAGGGTCCAAAATTAAACTTAGTTTGATTTTAAGAAAAATTGAATTTTTGGGGTTCTTTGATATGCTGAATCTAAACATGTGTTTAGATTTTTGATTATGGAACCAGTTTTCAAGTTTGTCCAAGTTGGGGTCCAAAATTAAACTTTGTTTGATTTCAACAAAAATTGAATATATGGGGTTCTTTGATATGCTGAATCTAAACATGTATTTAGATTTTAGATTTTTGGCCCAGTTTTCAAGTTGGTCCAAATTGGGGTCCAAAATTAAACTTTGTTTGATTTCAACAAAAATTGAATATATGGGGTTCTTTGATATGCTGAATCTTACCATGTACTTAGATTTTTTATTTTGTGGGCCTGCTATCAAATTGGTTCATATTGAGGTCAAAAGGGTCCAAAATTAAACTTTGTTTGATTTCATCAAAAATTGAATTACTGGGGTTCTTTGATATGCCAAATCTAACCGTGTGTTTAGATTTTTAATTTTGGGTCCCGTTTTTTAAATTGGTCTACATTAAGGTCCAAAGGGTCCAAAATTAAACTTAGTTTGATTTTAACAAAAATTGAATTCTTGGGGTACTTTGATATGCTGAATCTAAACATGTGTTTAGATTTTTGATTATGGGACCAGTTTTCAAGTTTGTCCAAGTTGGGGTCCAAAATTAAACTTTGTTTGATTTCAACAAAAATTGAATATATGGGGTTCTTTGATATGCTGAATCTAACCATGTATTTTGATTTTGGACATTGGACCATAATAGGTAAATTAAAAAAATTGAAGTTCTTAGACCACATTCTTTCTGTGTCAGAAACCTATGCTGTGTCAAATATTTAATCACAATCCAAATTCAGAGTTGTATCAAGCTTGAATGTTGTGTCCATACTTGCCCCAACTGTTCAGGGTTCGACCTCTGCGGTCGTATCAAGCTGCGCCCAGCGAAGCATTTTATTATACCTCTGTGCCAAGATAGACATACATATGGTATACTGTAATATTTGTGTCACTTTTTTCACACACATCATTTGGTAGCCAAAGCTTACTTTTACCAATCCCATTTTTGCACAAGTTACAGTCTAATGAAAATAATGTATTTTTTGTTGTTGCTGATTTTCATTTTTCCTACAATGACTTACATGACCATAATGACTTAAACATTTTTTCATTTTATATAAACCTGTTTTGTGGAAATTTGTACTCAATACAAGTACTCAAAATGCAATTTTTAGGTCACCTGGCCCAAAGGGCCAAGTGAGCTTTTCTCTTCACTTGGCGTCCGTCGTCCGTAAACTTTTACAAAAATCTTCTCCTCTGAAACTACCGGGCCAAATTTAACCAAACTTGGCCACAATCATCATTGGGGTATCTAGTTTAAAAAATGTGTCAGGTGACCCGGCCAACCAACCAAGATGGCCGCCATGGCTAAAAATAGAACATGGGGGTAAAATGTAGATTTTGGCTTATATCTCTGAAACCAAAGCATTTTTAGAGCAAATCTGACATGGGGTAAAATTGTTTATCAGGTCAAGATCTATCTGCCCTGAAATTTGCAGATGAATCTGACAACCCGTTGTTGGGTTGCTGCCCCTGAATTGGTAATTTTAAGGAAATTTTGCCGTTTTTGGTTATTATCTTGAATATTGTTATAGATAGAGATAAACTGTAAACAGCAATAATGTACAGCAAAGTAAGATCTACAAATAAGTCAACTTGACCAAAATGGTCAGTTGATCCCTTAAGGAGTTATTGCCCTTTATATTCAATTTTTAACCATTTTTCGTAAATTTTTGTAATCTTTTACAAAAATCTTCTCCTCTGAAACTACTAAGACAAATTTAACCAAACTTGTTCACAATCATCATTAGGGTATCTTGTTTAAAAAATGTGTCCGATGACCCCGCCCGCGAACCAAGATGGCCGATATGGCTAAAAAATAGTACATAGGGCAAAATGCAGTTTTTGGCTCATATCTCTGAAACCAAAGCATTAAGAGCAAATCTGACAGGATAAAATTGTTCATTAGGTCAAGATCTATCTGCCCTGAATTTTTCAGACCAATCAGGCAACACGTTGTTGGGTTGCTGCCCCTGAATTGGTAATTTTAAGAAAATTTTGCAGCTTATCTTGAATATTATTATAGATAGAGATAAACTGTAAACAGCAATAATGTACAGCAAAGTAAGATCTACAAATAAATCAACATGACCAAAATTGTCAATTGACCCCTTAAGGAGTTATTGCCCTTTATAGTCAATATTTTACAATTTTCATAAATTTTGTAAATTTTTGTAAATTTTTACAAAATATTTTCCACTGTAACTACTGGGCCAAGTTCATTATAGATAGAGATAATTGTAAGCAGCAAGAATGTTCAGTAAAGTAAGATCTACAAACACATCACCATCACCAAAACACAATTTTGTCATGAATCCATCTGTGTCCTTTGTTTAATATGCACATAGACCAAGATGAGCGACACAGGCTCTTTTGAGCCTCTAGTTTGCATATATCAAAAGCTTTTTTCAGCAGTTTTTGTAAAATATGTAAAAGCTTTTGATCATAGCATTAACCATGATAGGTATAAATATGATCATGATTGGTGTTCCATCATATCATTAACCATGATAGGTATTAATATGATCGTGATTGATGTTCGATCATATCATTAACCATGATAGGTATTAATATGATCACTGTTCGATCACAACAATAACTATGATAGGTATTAATATGATCTTGATTGCTTAAAAATGTGTGAAGATGATAGATTTCAAATATAGGAAATACATTCAATTTTTATCAATCACTATGTCTTCTGATTTAATAGGTATTAGTTTTTTTCTTTTCTTTACATAATTTCAGGTGCAATATCTAATAAATACATAATGTAATATTCATCCTACCCCATTTGCAAGTAAAAACCTATGTTTATTGGTACTGCTGTTCATGAGCAATATTTTTGGTTACTTTAACCTGCATCATCAAATTATCATGCTTATAGTACATTAAAATAAGTGTTCTCATAGAAATTTTATTTAGGCAAATTTAACTTTCATACTTGAATGGAAAAGCTAAAACTTTAAATTTTTTATGATATACATAAGATCTTAAAGATCATTGGATGCAGTCATAAACATTTTGAGTACAGCAATCGATTTTGGTACTCAAGACTCAGAAATCAACCAATCAAAATACTGCATTTGGTGTTTCAAGCACAAATTGTGTTCTACAAGTACTGAGTCAAGTTTTATGATCGAAAGGTCTGAATAGTATGCTTTTGCTAGCTAGTGACAAGATGATTTTATTCTAGATCAACCAAAAACACAGAATTATTTTGCCAATTGAATTTGTTAGGTTATAAGTATTCAATGGAATGAGCAAGTACACTTTCATGAGGGAGAGCTAAGAAAGAACTTTGCCCATTGAATGCATTGGGTTTTTTTTTCTACCCCTGAAGGTCCAGTTGAAAATCTAAATGACCTCAAAATGTTGATGATTTTTACAGGATTTTGTTACTGCATATAATTACAGAACAGTGCCTTTTCAGTGATTTATTGTTTCAAATTGCTACATATGTATACAGTTTGTACTAATAGGAAAGTAAGTTTGTACAACAGTATTTATTGCTGTCTGGAAAACCCATGAGTTAAACATTGTTTTTGAATTTGGACAACTTTTAAAATAAGTATGTTGAATGCAACCTTTATTTATCTTGAACCATTGACATAAAGTAGCAAATTTTTGCATTTTTTTAAGCAAACATTTTAAATTTGCACAACTATGTCTAACAGTAATAAAGTTTCCTGTTGTCATCTTTGTGAAAAAAAAACTTGTAATTTAAAAATGAAGATTTTAACTTTTTGGATTCAGCAACATTGTGAAATTCATGGATTTCCCATTTTGAGGAATTGTACAATAGAAAATTGTTCCTTGTCATGTTCTTATAATTTATACTTTTATTAAATGTTAACTGATGTGACTTTATCAGTTAACTATATTATATCTTGGTTCCTTAGTTGTTTTCAGATTTTGCTTATTGTCTGTAATATTCAGCACATTTGGAGAAAAAGATATGAATTATGTGTTCACAATATAAATGAAAATAGATATAGGGTAAAAGTCAAATAGGCAGAAAACAAAAGGACAAGAAAAGGTCAGCATATGGCCTACAACAAATGATGTGTCTGTATAGGATGTCAAGCTCTAAAACAAACACGACAAATCAATAAGGAGATGTGGTATGTTTCCAATGAGAAAACTATCTATCAGAGACCAAAGGACGAGGATACAAACAAATGTAGGTCACTTTATGACCTTCAACAATGAACAAAACCCATACTGTAGAGTAAACTACAACAGGCCCTGCCATGTCAAAACGTAAAACAATTCAAGAGAAACACCAATGGATTGGTTTATGCTGAACAAAAAACAAATATGACAGACAACAACCAGTTATATGCTCCTGATTTGTGACAGACACATAAAGAATGTGGCAGGTTAAGATCTTTGAGAACCCTCAACCCTCACCCTGACAGGGGAAAGTGGTGTAACAGCACAGCAAAAGAACAAACTATATAAAAAATAAGTTGAAACAAATCACACACAAAAAAACTAACAAAAAGAACATTAACCCGCTGTATTTGTTTGCACCTGTCCTAAGTCAGGAACCTGTTGTTCAGTGGTTGTTGTTTGTTGATGTTGTTCATAAGTGTTTCTTGTTTTTATACGACCGCAAAAAAATTTTGCGATCGTATATTGGTATGGCGTCGTCGTCATCGTCGTCCGAAGACACAGTGGTTTTCGCACTCTAACTTTAGTTTAAGTGAATGGATCTCTATGAAATTTTACCATAAGGTTCAATACCACAAAAGGAAGGTAGGGATTGATTTTGGGGGTTATGGTACCAACAGTTAAGGAATTAGGGGCAAAAAATAAGCATTTTTGTAACTTCCAGACATAACTTGTGTGTTAGTGTATGGATATCTCTGACATTGTACAAGGTTCCATATCACAAAGGGAATGCTGGGATTGATTTTGGGGGAATTGCCTCAAAATATTAGGAATTAGGGGCCAAAAAAGGGGCAAAAAACAAGCATTTTTATATGGACAAATACTTGAGTACAAAACATAATTTAAAGCAGTGTAAGGGAGATAAATCAAATACATCATTTGAATTACCTCCCTTACACTGCTTTTAAATTATGTATAAAGTAATGGTTAATGAACAATTAAGACAATTTAAAACAGTGTAAGGGAGGTAATCCACATACAACGTTTTGATTACTTCCCTTACACTGCTTTTAAATTATGTTTCAAGAAATGCATATTTATTTAAGGAATGACTAATATTTTTTCTGTCTATGAAGAAATAACATAAAAAATATGGTGCACACTGAATAACCCGGGTAGCGGGTTATTTAAAAGTGTGCACCACAATTTTTATGTTATTTCGAATAGACAGAAAAAATATTAAAGTCATTTCTTATAATTTAATTCTAAAAAGGAGTAAATCATGATAAAAACGTTGATGACGTCGCGGTCACATGACAAAATTATGTCTATGAGCTGATAGACAAAACACTTTCAGCCAATCAGAAGACGTGTTACATCCAAAATTAAATTATAAAGGAAGACCAGTAAAAATATCTGCAAATGTTGCATCTTTTTTTTTTTTTACAAAAAAATCCATAAAAAGAAATTGTGGGGGGTCAATTTTTTCTCATTTCAGATTTCAGAAATTAAAAAGAATTATTCTTCAAATATTATTTTTTTTTCAAATTTCAAATATTGAAAAATTTCAAGAAGTAATCTTTAATTGCACAGTATGGCGCATTAGATTTATAAAATCTTTGACCACATTTATTTATTTTTTATTTGTTATGCCAAATCTGACCGTGTATTTAGATTTTTAATTTTGGGTCCAGTTTTCAAATTGGTCTACATTAAGGTCCAAAGGGTCCAAAATTAAACTTAGTTTGATTTTAACAAAAATTGAATATATGGGGTTCTTTGATATGCTGAATCTAAACATGTATTTAGATTTTTTTATTTCGGGCCCAGTTTTCAAGTTGGTCCAAATTTGGGGTCCAAAATTAAACTTTGTTTGATTTCAACAAAAATTGAATATATGGGGTTCTTTGATATGCTGAATCTAACCATGTATTTAGATTTTTTATTTGTGGGCCCCGCTATCAAATTGGTTCATATTGAGGTCAAAAGGGTCCAAAAATAAACTTTGTTTTATTTCATCAAAAATTGAATTATTGGGGTTCTTTGATATGCCAAATCTAACCGTGTATTTAGATTTTTAATTTTGGGTCCAGTTTTCAAATTGGTCTACATTAAGGTCCAAAGGGTCCAAAATTAAACTTAGTTTGATTTTAACAAAAATTGAATATATGGGGTTCTTTGATATGCTGAATCTAAACATGTATTTAGATTTTTGATTATGGGCCCAGTTTTCAAGTTGGTCCAAATTGGGGTCCAAAATTTAACTTTGTTTGATTTCAACAAAAATTGAATATATGGGGTTCTTTGATATGCTGAATCTAACCATGTATTTAGATTTTTTATTTGTGGGCCCCGCTATCAAATTGGTTCATATTGAGGTCAAAAGGGTCCAAAATTAAACTTTGTTTTATTTTATCAAAAATTGAATTATTGGGGTTCTTTGATATGCCAAATCTAACTGTGTATTTACATTTTTTATTTTGGGTCCCGTTTTTTAAATTGGTCTACATTAAGGTCCAAAGGGTCCAAAATTAAACTTAGTTTGATTTTAACAAAAATTGAATATATGGGGTTCTTTGATATGCTGAATCTAAACATGTATTTAGATTTTTTTATTTCGGGCCCAGTTTTTAAGTTGGTCCAAATTGGGGTCCAAAATTAAACTTTGTTTGATTTCAACAAAATTGAATATATGGGGTTCTTTGATATGCTGAATCTAACCATGTATTTAGATTTTTTATTTGTGGGCCCCACTATCAAATTGGTTCATATTGAGGTCAAAAGGGTCCAAAAATAAACTTTGTTTTATTTCATCAAAAATTGAATTATTGGGGTTCTTTGATATGCCAAATCTAACCGTGTATTTAGAATTTTAATTTTGGGTCCAGTTTTCAAATTGGTATACATTAAGGTCCAAAGGGTCCAAAATTAAACTTAGTTTGATTTTAACAAAAATTGAATATATGGGGTTCTTTGATATGCTGAATCTAAACATGTAATTAGATTTTTTATTTTGGGCCCAGTTTTCAAGTTGGTCCAAATTGGGGTCCAAAATTTAACTTTGTTTGATTTCAACAAAAATTGAATATATGGGGTTCTTTGATATGCTGAATCTAACCATGTATTTAGATTTTTATTTGTGGGCCCCGCTATCAAATTGGTTCATATTGAGGTCAAAAGGGTCCAAAATTAAACTTTGTTTTATTTCATCAAAAATTGAATTATTGGGGTTCTTTGATATGCCAAATCTAACTGTGTATTTACATTTTTTATTTTGGGTCCCGTTTTTTAAATTGGTCTACATTAAGGTCCAAAGGGTCCAAAATTAAACTTAGTTTGATTTTAACAAAAATTGAATATATGGGGTTCTTTGATATGCTGAATCTAAACATGTATTTAGATTTTTTTATTTCGGGCCCAGTTTTTAAGTTGGTCCAAATTGGGGTCCAAAATTTAACTTTGTTTGATTTCAACAAAAATTGAATATATGGGGTTCTTTGATATGCTGAATCTAACCATGTATTTAGATTTTTTATTTGTGGGCCCCGCTATCAAATTGGTTCATATTGAGGTCAAAAGGGTCCAAAAATAAACTGTTTTATTTCATCAAAAATTGAATTATTGGGGTTCTTTGATATGCCAAATCTAACCGTGTATTTAGATTTTTAATTTTGGGTCCAGTTTTCAAATTGGTCTACATTAAGGTCCAAAGGGTCCAAAATTAAACTTAGTTTGATTTTAACAAAAATTGAATATATGGGGTTCTTTGATATGCTGAATCTAAACATGTATATAGATTTTTTATTTTGGGCCCAGTTTTCAAGTTGGTCCAAATTGGGGTCCAAAATTTAACTTTGTTTGATTTCAACAAAAAATGAATATATGGGGTTCTTTGATATGCTGAATCTAACCATGTATTTTGATTTTTGGGCCCCGTTATCAAATTGGTCCACATTGAGGTCAAAAGGGTCCAAAATTAAACTTTGTTTGATTTCATCAAAAATTGAATTCTTTGGATTCTTTGATATGCTGAATCTAACCATGTATTTAGATTTTGGATATTGGACAATATTAGGTAAATTAAAAAAATTTAAGTTCTTAGACCACATTCATTCTGTGTCAGAAACCTGTGCTGTGTCAAATATTTAATCACAATCCAAATTCAGAGCTGTATCAAACTTGAATGTTGTGTCCATACTTGCCCCAACTGTTCAGGGTTCGACCTCTGCGGTCGTATCAAGCTGTGCCCAGCGGAACATTTTATTTATATTTATTAGACCATTGGTTTTCCTGTTTGAATTGTTTTACAGTCATTTGGGAGCCCTTTATAGCTTGCTGTTCTGTGTGAGCCTAGGCTCCGTGTTGAAGGCCGTACTTTGATCTATACCGGTAATTGTCAACTTTTACACATTGTGACTTGGATGGAGTGTTGTCTCATTGGCACTCATACCACATCTTCTTATTTCTATAAACACAAGGTACCAATATCAGGGTACTCACAGTTACTCAAAATCAATTCCAACTAATAGATACACCATGTTCTTCCAGACTAAAATATCAATCTGTACACAACCAATGGATTTGGTGTAAAGATGTCATAAAACAGTCTAAGAAAAGCACCGCCTGGTGCAATGCCAGAATAAATGTTTCGACAGGATATAGACCAAAAATGTTCACTGTATACCAATACATATTTAGTTGGGTTTTAATTTGTTAAAACACAAAATCAATGTTATTGACAATGGAGTCATTATAACCTTTTAGTCTTCT